CGTTACAGAGGGACGTTACTAGTATTTCCACGGTGACGTTACAGAGGGACGTTACTAGTGTTTCCACGGTGACGTTACAGAGGGACGTTACTAGTGTTTCCACGGTGACGTTACAGAGGGACGTTACTAGTATTTCCACGGATCAGTTTTAAACAACTGGCCAATTACCTCTCTCAATTGCTGCTTTCGGATATAATCAAATTCGCCTGAATAAACATATTTGGTAACATGAACATGACCGAAACATCTCTGTGAAACGTGTAATATAACCTATGCATTTAGTTTAGCTCAGTAATAGATAACAACCGTTTTGAGTACATTTAATGAAGACATATAGCATCATTAGTGACAATCCTATGATAGAAATATAATTAGGCATATAGTATGATAGAATATTTGTGTTCTTTAATATGACAGAAACATCTTAAAGTAAATACATATAACAGGAGCGTATATATCACATGTTTGGGTGATCTTCGGTCTACTGAGGAGTAGGTAGATTGTACCAGATCGTAACCCATGGCTAGCGAAGAATCAGCAGTTCGTTGTGGAGTACCACTGACGAGTCTGAGACGAAAGGTCATCTGGTGCATTAAAATGTTAACTTTGTTTTACTTTCTGCTTTGAAAAACTAAAAAAATCCAAACAGGTGCTTTACATAACTGACTGGCAGACTATCAGTTACCGAGGTTTGCCGTTACCTTGTTAGCCAGAGATTTAGCCAGATTTTAAGCCAGATTTTATAGAGATTTATTGGCACCTTTCCCATTTCGCTGTATTCTAAAAATGTTTCAGAACACATCTGTCATGCGTTTTCGTTCTTTCACCTTTAGTACCACGGATGAGTCCTTACTGGTCAAAGTGATCATATCGTGCAATACAATTGTTTTCCAATTTTAAGGCACGTTTTTCAATTACATCAACATGTTTAAATTCATTAATGTAGTAGAAACATTTTGCACATAAACAATATTTTGTACATAAATATCAAAGAAACATCTTTGGACAAATTTAACACAACTGGAACTTTTGTGTTACATTGATGTGACAGAAATAGCTTCTGGTTCACTTACGTTTAATGATAAATCGCACCAACAACATATTGTGGTAGTTTTGTTACAAAACATCAAGATTACAACCTCGGCTCATATGTATTCCTGTGTAAAATACACTTCGTGTTGATTTCTTTTGCTATCGAAATATTTGTCTCAATTTACAGAGTAATAGTGAACACTTACTTTTTAGCATGGTTTAGGGAACTGAACACTTCGAAACTAGTAGCTGATTTTGGATCATGTGAGCACATACTCATTTTTTAATTAATATACATTAATTTCAAAATACATGTTATCGATTTGCGTTCATACCGGCATGAACATTTAAAAAAAAGCCGTTCAATCCTTATATTTACATTCTAAATTTTTACTTATTATTGACCAAATACAGTGATTCCCTTGTATTGACGATATTTAAGTGCTTTTGTCGTCAGTGCAAACGAGACTCCTGGAACAGCCTTACGTCACCAAAATATTTGCTTCCACCGAAATGACGCTGATCTTATTGCGTTCATAGCCCTATGAACGCATTTTCTTATGGGAATGCTCATAGAAGAACTTGCAGTGGAAATGTAAATATCATCTTTTTGAAAACTCTATAAGTATTTGAATGTCTTAAACCCCTTTTTATGCAGATGTTGTTCGTCACGTGTTTCAATTCATCATCATCAATACCTTAAATCCGGGAGAGGTGCTGAAGGTGGATTTCCGTTGGTTGTGTCTGGTAAGGTTTCATAGCCTGGTGGGCCATTTTGGCCTCCATGGTCAAGTTCGGGGTGATAACCAGGAGGGTCATTTCGCTGTCCGATAGGGAACTGGGTCATTTCGATTCGTGCATGTTGACCGCCTAAGTCGGACTGAAAGTGTCCGTGTGACGGACGAAATGAGACACCAAGCGTGTGATTGTGCGAGATTGGAGACAGGTGGCTAGGAGGGGGATGGGAATATGTACCTGGAAAATATTGACAAAATTATAGGTAAGTGCAACCATGGACTTAATGTTAACGGTGCTCAAAGTTAACACTTTTTACAGAACAAAGAAACATTAATACCATTTTATGATATTTTATGATGCTTAAAGTTATTGAAGGTGTATATATATTATACTTTCTAATGCATTGATAATTTTCGGAAAAAGTTTTTCACATTCGTATGTTTATATACATTTAATTGTTAAGTAAGTAGATAACCTATAAAGTTATAAAAAAATCAATGAAGCCTCCTTAAGGCAACTCGTTACAACCAAGGCATTGTTATAACATGCATTAAAACACATAGATATTCAAAGCAAATTTACGACTTGACTCAAAACAATTAATCCAGTATATTTTAAGAAAAAAAGCCCACTAAAATTACATACTTGGAGATTGAAAAATATCACCTAAAGACCACAAAAACAACAATATTAGTAAATATAAAGATATTTATAAAATAAATCAGATTTAAATGGGACACGTATATCTTGCGTACGCAGAAATGGGAGAAGAAGTTCCTCCATCTTACATTGACATGATGTCATAACGCAAAGACAATGATATGATGTCATAACGCAAAGACAATGATATGATGTCATAACGCAAAGACAATGATATGACGTTTAATCTGTTTAGCTGAATGTTATTTTGCAGTTCTGGTATATTTTACATTGATTGCTAGTCGTTTTATTTATAATTAAGAAATATAGATTCAGGATAAAACGCTATGTAATCTTTTAAGTAGTAAATATTAATTTTAAAAGCCGATCAATATTAGAGAAGCTGACATTTTCCTGCAAGAGTTTGACTACACATTGCGATGAAATAAATTTGTAAGCGATTTAAAAAATATCTTTCCTATAGTAGAATTTTCAGCATCCAAAATAAAGAACGAAAAAGACGTGCTTATCATATGAAAAATAATCTTCCCAGGTATGTATTCAGTGACATAAGAACTGAGAGCAAACCTTGAAACATCAGTGGCTGTGGGGCACTCAACACCTGTCCACACTGGATCTGGTTCCTCGTTTTCTGTTTATAGTAACAACATAAGCCAATGATGATGATGATGGCGACGATGAGTGCAAAGCCAAGCACACAGCCAAGAACTACAGCGGCCCTGTAACACCAATATAACAGTACAAGTCACAGGACATATGACATTTACATAGTACCACAGTACATAGACTGGTCATGTGACATAGGGGAATCATGTGACATCAGTATAGTACCAATGTGTAAAGGGAGGTCATGTGACATCAATATAGTACTCCAGTACGTTGGGAGGTCATGTTACGTTTTCATATTACCTGTAAATGGAAAGATCATACTTGAAGTGAACCTATCAGACATATTCTACATTTTGTGATCCTATACGTAGTGATCTTACTGTACGTTATCCTTCAGTAGAAATTCTTCAGTTTCATCTTATAGAGATAATGTTTTGTCAAGAGATATTATAGGCGCGATACTATATTCTAGATTCTGTGATCCTGTATTGTGTCAATTTGTGTGATCCTGTTATGGTGTTCCTGTATTGTGTGATCCTGTAATGGAGATCCTGTATTGTGTTATCCTGTGAAGGAGATCCTGTATTGTGTGATTCTATTATGGAAATAATATTTTGTGTGATCCTGTAATGTAGTTCCTGTATTGTGTGATTCTGTAAGTGAGATCCTGAATTGTGTGATGCAGTAATTGATTTCCTCTAAAGTTTGACCCAGTAAGGGGGATAATGTATTGTGTGATCCTGTTAGGGAGATCCTGTATTATATGTCCACGTTTTGTGTGATCCTGTATAATATGATCATGTTTTGTGTGATCCTGTAATGGAGATCCTGTATTGTGTGATCCTGTCATGGAAATCTCGTATTGTGTAATCCTTTCATGGAAATCCCGTATTGTGTGTTCCTACACATTGTATAAGGCAGATCATCTAGTGTGTGATTCAGCAGGAGAGATCGTATATTGAGGTTCCCGAACGAGTGATGGTTGAATATCTAGAACAACACAGGTTCCTCTTTGGAATACATTATTCTGATTTTCCTGAAAACTATTAACTATGACACTAAAAAGAAGAAGACGTTGCAAAGCGTTGTTACTTGATGTCATAATAAGAAGGTTGATAAACTAAATGACGTCCAGGGTGTTACACACTAGTGGGGTACCAACATGTTTCATCAACTCCCAGTGGGTCTATCCATTTAGTCAGGAGTAAGGAAACCGATAGTGGTTGTGGGACACATTTCATTAACCTATATTCTTTGGAGATATCTAATTTTCACGTTTATTGGCGAGGTTAATCGGTCTGTAACTCAAATATCTAACTGTTGAAAACTGTCGTTGTACTTTCGGACCATATCTCGTAAATAAGTGTTCAAGAAAAAGAAGCAATCTGCATTAACTTACACGGTACTATCGTCTAGCTCTGGTGTCTCTGTGGTATTTTCACAGCACTGGGAACCACAACATCCCTGTAAACAGTAGCCTGTGTAATCCGCATATCCATAAGCGCTATTGTAGTGATAGCACATCGTATAGGCTTTCGTGTCTGGAACACAAGACATTCAAAATACAAACGATAACAACAGTTAACCAAGTAGAAAGGAAAGTTTTTAGAACCCCTATACGAAATTATAACCAACGCAGTCCATTAAGTGACGAAATACCTTCTCATACCCAACCAATCAAACATTACCTGAAATAACCCGTTGGTGCATATTGCTTTGCTTAGTTTCCTGTGTTTTCATAACACTGATACAGTCCAACATGTTTGTAAAGACTGCCAAAGGGAGAAAGTAAATCATGTTTCTACACAGAGCGCTAAAGGTAGAAAGTAAAACATGTCTGTACAAAGACCGCTAAAGGGAGAAAGTAAAACATGTCTACAAAGTCCGCCAAAGATAGAAAGTAAAACATGTCTCTACAAAGACCGCTAAAGGGAGAAGGTACAAAATGTCTCTACAAAGACTGCCAAAGGGAGAAAGTAAATCATGGCTCTACAAAGACCGCCAAAGGGAGAAAGTAATATTTCTCTATAAAGACCGGCAAAGGGAGAAAGTAATACATGTCTCTACGAAGACTTCTAAAGGGAGAAGGTTAAAAATGTCTGTACAAAGACCGCCAAAGGGAGAAAGTAAAACATGTCTCTACAAAGACCGCCAAAGAGAGAAAGTAAATCATATCTCTACAAAGACCGGCAAAGGGAGAAAGTAAAACATGTCTCTACGAAGACTTCTAAATGGAGAAGGTTAAAAATGTCTCTACAAAGACCACCAAAGGGAGAAAGTAAAACATGTCTCTACAAAGACTTCTAAAGGGAGAAAGTAAAACATGTCTCTACAAAGACTTCTAAAGGGAAAAGGTTAAACATGTCTCTACAAAGACCGCCAAAGGGAGAAAGAAAAACATGTCTGTACAAAGACTTCTAAAGGGAGAAGGTTAAACATGGCTCTACAAAGACCGCCAAAGGGAGAAAGTAAAACATGTCTCTACAAAGACTTCTAAAGGGAGAAAGTAAAACATGTCTCTACAAAGACTTCTAAAGGGAGAAAGTAAAACATGTCTCTACAAAGACCACCAAAGGGAGAAAGTAAATCATGTCTCTACAAAGACCGCCAAAGGGAGAAAGTAAATCATGTCTCTACAAAGACCGGCAAATAGAGAAAGTAAAACATGTCTCTACGAAGACTTCTAAAAGGAGAAGGTTAAAAATGTCTCTACAAAGACCGCCAAAGAGAGAAAGTAAAACATGTCTCTACAAAGACCGCCAAAGGGAGAAAGTAAAACATGTCTCTACAAGGACCGCCAAAGGGAGAAAGTAAAACATGTCTCTACAAAGACCACCAAAGGGAGAAAGTAAAACATGTCTCTACAAACACTGCCAAAGAGAGAAAGTAAAACATGTCTCTACAAACACCACCAAAGGGAGAAAGTAAAACATATCTCTACAAACACTGCCAAAGAGAGAAAACAATCTTTTAAGAGCAAGCAAGAGAGAAAAAGAACATTGATAAGAAGATCGTCTAAGGGAGATAAGAATAATCATGTCTATTAAAACTGAAACAGAATCTTTCCCTCCTTTGGAGTAAGATAGAAAAAAGTCTACCCAAGGGGCAAGATTACTTTATGCTCACCCGAAGATTGGATTCATGATCAATTCAGAACTTAGGGTTTCTAACAGATGAACTACAATCTAAGCTGCAGTAATGATACGGAAATGATCCTGACCTGATTCCCAGCTATAATATTCAAATGTCTAGCATGATTACAGATGGGCTAACAAAGATGAATGGTGACATATATCATTTAAAATTTACTTGATACATACTAACGGGTTCCTCAAGTGGAGCAGAACAAATAAACCTTATCGGACCACGGTGTCTGTGGTTCCGCATCACTTAGTATCGCCTCAGAAATGTTCGTAGAGTTTTAAGGTTTTCCATGGGCGTTCATGATGTGTATCCTTTAGTTTTAGTGTCATATCCTGTTGTTAATTTTCAGATAGCCCGGACATATTTTCTGTTATACATTGATGCTATAGTAAGTATCATTCTATTTTCTTTGCCAATGAAATATGTAATATTTATAATAAACGGCGATAAATGTCTTTAATGAAGCGGTATACTACTATCAACAAGCCACCTTGATGAAGTCTCCCACTAGTAACTATACGCCAACCTCTTCATGAGTAGCTAATGAGACTATTAACATGTTCTCCAGTAATCATTATTAACTACGCAAAATGGCCGGATAGCTTATTTTTGTTACCGATTTAAGGTCATGTTTTCATTCTTTGACCATTTACTATACTGTTCAATTAATACGCGTTAATATGTCGAATGTAGAAACTAAACAACCACTAAATTGTTCTCAAATGTATGGCATAGCCATGGTTATAGCCCAAATTAACTGTGTGTAACTATAGGTCACTCAACAAGAGCCAGGAGATAAGGCTTGCTGGCCTCTACAGGCTGGTCGTCTAAACATGATATCAGAATAAATAATTTTACGTATTTCTTTTTAAATATCTCAAATTTTAAAAAACTTACCTGACACCAATACAATAAGAACCAAACCAAGAATATTACTGACAGTCATCTTGTAATAGGGACTTCAGTCTGTCCTTACTGGTGTCTCCGTCACTTAAACACACGGTGCCAAATAATCAACCATTACAAAGCTACTTACACAAAGCGCGCTTAATTATTTAAATAGCCATTGTTCCTACTTCATACATGTAATTATGAGTCATATTACACATAGTTCCACTTAAAGTACTTTATATATAACTATATCACATGGTATATGTCAAACAATGACGAGGCTGGCTATCAGAGTTTGGTAGTGAGGTGAACATTATTGTAGATTTCGGATGTAAAGTTACCATATATTTGTGGTACTATAAATACATGTCATAATTTTTAGTAGTGATGTGCACTAAAATAAACTACCCAGTCCGACAAATAGTGTTTGACTATGTTGATTGTTGATTATTTAACAATTCTCAGGAACTTTGCTGACATTTCTGAACCGTCTCCATAATATTTATATTCATATTTACGTCTCGTGATTGAAAACCATAAATAAAAGTTTGGGTATTGAGTGGAATAGCATCACTCATCGCTGACAGAGAGTTAAGTAATATTAGTCGTTGGTTAGTATAAAAAGGACAGTGCAGGAAAAAATGATCACGATCTTCGAAGGTGGAGCCACATATACAAGCAGGGCTATCATTTAGATGTGCATTAAATAAATCTGAATTTAAATTACTTGCAGAATTTCTTAACTGACACAATGTTATGTTAATTTTTCTATTACCGTGATATTTACAAATGTTACTAAATATTGGGTGAACATCATCTATATGGGATGAACGTAACATTCCTTTTTCAGAGCTCCAATATATGTCATAGTGGAAAACAGACAGGCTGGATTGTTCCATTCTGACATCAGTTTTGGAAAATAACTAGAGTTATGTAAATGCGTTCTTGGTACTGGAATGTCAAATAACCTATTGTGTCGAAAGTTGTAATGTTCAAAGTAACCTGACCTAGATCATCCGTCAGTGTACATTTCAACACCTCGTGCTTTATAATATATCTGATAACATTGCAAAGTTTTAAGATGAAATATTCCCACCAAAACTTATACTGACTTACCCTTATCCAACATACTTTGGAGTTTGGAAACAGATATTACATTTCAAATAACCTATTGTGTCGAAAGTTGTAATGTTCAAAGTTATTAAGAAAGAGCAGTATCAAGTCTGACACATGAGATGGACAATTGTTATTAAAGAATTTAAAAAATGCAATTTTTGGTGTAAATGTCTTCTTTTACTAAGTGTAACAAAGCCAGTCTCTCTATATAAAATGTTATGGCTCTTTCCTCGTCTTAAACCAGAAATAATGCGTGCTGCTTCAAATTAGATTGACTCTAAGACGTTGTACTCTCTCTGGGAACAGTTAGCCCATACAATATCAGCATATTCGAGGATAGGACGAACATATGATATATATATTGTTTCAAGGGATTTTCTATCAATCTCAAATTTTAACATTCTAAGTGTATTCAGTCTTTTATATGCTTTTTCATAAATAATTTATATGAGTTGACCAGCTGACTTTGCCATTGAAAATAAGACCAAGGTGTTTATGATCAATAACGTTATTAATAACTGCATTATTAAAAAATAGGTTAGGATGCAACGTCTCAGAGTCGAACCGCCTTGAGAAAATTAGAGCCTCCGTTTTACCCGGATTGAAGATGATACCCCATTTATCAGCCCAGAAAGAGATTTTCATTTAGTATGTCAGCAGCTTCCTGTCTGTTTCCCTCTATCAATGCATATAAAGACGTGTCGTCAACGAAAAGCTTGACATTAGAGATTAAATTTTCTCCGATATCATTTATGTACAGTAAACATAAAAATGGCCCTAAACTGACCCCTGTGGTAACCCCGCCTTTAACGTTTTCCAGTTAGATTTAAATCCATCAAAGACCACCCTCTGTCTCCTATCAATTAAATACGAAGAAAACCATTTCAAAATATTACCGCAAAACAAACATTTTTTTTGAATTTGAAAATTAAACCACCCTGTCGAAAGCTTTGCTGATGTCACAAAATATCATTCTAGCTTCTTTACCTTTATCCAAGTGCTTTACAATTGCATCATATATAACTTATAATTGGTAGACAGTTGGATCTTTAGGTAGAAACCCTGATTGATTCTTAGAAACAATATTATATCTTGAGAGATAATTAAACATATTTTTAAAAACATTTTTTTCAAGAAGTTTACTAAAAATAGGAGTAACAGAGATTGGTCTATAATTAGATGGGTTACTTCTTGCACCCTTGCACTTGTACACGGGTGTAACATGAGCATTTTTCTATCCAGAAGGGAGAATACTGGAGGAAATAGATTTATTGAAGATTAGTAACAGAGGTCTTAATATGGATTGAGATACCCCTTTAACAAATTTTGGAGGGATGGAATCAGGGCCTTGGGGTTTATTAGTATTGAGTTGGTGAAACAGGTCAATAATATCCTGTTCTGTAATGTCAAATGTCGAGAAGCTGTGCTCTGGCCGGTTACAGTCGGTTGGTAAATCATCAGCATTCTTTCCGGTTTCAGATATTGATGAAAATAATCGTTAAAAGATTCAGCTTTGTCGACGGGATGTATTTTGAGTATGCCATTAATAACCAAAGGAGAGTCAATTTCACATTTATTTTTAAGATTCATAACAGATTTTGCAACACGCCACCATTTCCTTGGGGGTATGGATTTGTCTATTAGAGAAGATTGTAATTTTGAAAGATATTTTTCTTTGGCCTCACGTGTTAATAAAATTACTTCATTCCGAATAGTTCTAAATTTGTTCCAGGAGGCTGGAGTATTGTATAATTTGGATTTAGAATGCTGACGATTTCGTTGTCTTATTTTCAGTCTTATGTCATTAGTCATCCAAATTTTATCGTTAGGCCTAATAGTTACAGTTTTATGAGGAACACATTGATCTAAGGCAGATAGGATTTTGTCAGAAAGAAAAAAAACACCTTTGTTTTCAATATCCCCATGTAGATCAACATCCCAGTCAATTGAGTTTAGATAAGCATTGACTCCGTCAAAGTCAGTATTATTAAAGTAAAGTAATGATTTCTTGTATGCACGTTTCTTTAAGGTTTTGACGTTTAGGTCAACACTGACAGGACAGTGATCACTACAGGAAGGAGGATGGACTGTGCTGTTAGTTACAAAGTTTACATTATTAGTTATTATGATATCAAGTGATGTTGAAGATAAAGGAGTGATCCTGGTAGGTTCAGAGACAGTATTTTCAAAACCATATTTTAATAATAGTCGATAAAAATGAGAGTTTGGATTAAGATATAACATGTTAACATTTATATCTCCTACCAATACAACTTCTTTTTGCAGATCAACAATACTGTCAAGATTGTTGTCAAGTCTATCCCAAAAGCCTACGAGAGAGTTAGGGGGTCTGTATATACAACCAAGAAGAATGGGTTTATTATTAGTGGTTACTTCAATCCATATAAGTTGAAGATCATCTGATTCTAAATCAACTCTACGTTTAATATTTATGTTATTTTTAGTATAAATAAGTACCCCGCCTCCACCATTATTAGTCCGAACCTTTCTAAAAACATTACCAAAATTTTCGAAAGAGATATCGCTGTCAGAGATGGAATTATTAAGATGGGGTTTCGGTAACACAAAGAATATCATATTCAGAAAATTCAGCATCAAGAATGTGGGTTTTGTTCCTTAAAGAACAAATATTAATATGACAGACAGATATATTATTAAGACGGATATTAGTGTTTTCCTGTGAACACGGTCCAGGATTCGGATGAATATCACCACATACCAATAATATGTAGAGAAGTAGTAAATGAAAATGCAAATTGATAGAAGACGAGTTCAGTGAAACACCAGAGACACGAATACAAAGTAATTTGCCATTCACTTCTCCCTCCATACCAGGATAAATCACTAGTTTAGCCATTGTCAAAAAGTATATTCATGAGAGGTGGATGAATACTGGTAGAGAAAGTGATGTGAATGGCAAAGAAGTTCATAATGTAGAACAATTGGCATTGAGATGAATAAAGATATTGTAAATAATATTGACATGTATAACTGTTATCATTCTGAAAACAGGCATGGCATTTGATCAATAAACACAATATAAAACAAATGTGACAAAACGGCATATATACACATAAAGACAATTGACATTGCTTTATCATTCAAAGATGTATGTTTGGCATAAAACATCATAGGCTAGTTCAAGTCAATAAGTTTATCAATATAAGAATCCATTCTCAGTCTGATATAGAAAAGAAATTAACTTATGGATGATTATATATTTGTTTTTTCCGAGATTATAATAATAATGTGTGCAAAAAACCCCAAAAAATCAAAAACAATATTGAGTGCAAAATTACGTCAAACGTAACTATATTAGAACTCATCATCACTAAAACTATAAAATTATGACGATGCCGGAACTAAATGCATTTAACTACAATAACACCTCAATTTTTTGCAATTAAAACATATTCCTTCTGCTCGTGATAAAAAAGGATCTGATCTGTATTTTGTATTGTCTAGCTGTCCGTCTGACTGTTATCGCCAGCCAACATGATGATTAAACTTAAATGGCCGTTGAATGAAAGACCCCTTACAAAACAAAGCACACTGTTAAGGAGTTAAAATCTGAACCAAGTATTCAAGCCTACACGAATATTTTAACCCATGGCTTCACCAACAACGGTAACCTCCATGAGTAATATGAGCCCTAATCAACTTACAGTTCACACAGAAATAAAGACATAATATTAGTCTGAACATGTTTCAACGTCAGGGTAAATCCATACAGAGAACAGCCACCATTTGACAGTGGAGCAGTGCAATCTCCAACGTTAGAGTTATGACGTCATACGCAAAGCGTCGTCACAATAGCCCAATGCATGTTATACGGAAATAACATATATTGGGCCCGGTAGAAACATCTAGGCTTTGTGCAGTGGAAATGTAAATATTATGAGGTACTATTGATCTGGTGTCTGTTGTGCACTGTTTCTAGAGTTTCATTGTTCCGACAAGGAAAACTAGTGTTTGTTTTCCCGCTGCAGATTTAGACAAATCTTAAATAAGCGTAGCCCTTAGCGTTTGCTCTCTTGGGGTGTTTCTAGGTTTGCGAAATTGTTACCAAGGACCATTAACATTTCGGAAGTTTATGAGGTATTGCTGAAGGACCTTCGTGGTGTATTTGAAAAAGAATCATATGGAAATAGTTACGCGTTAGAATTCACAACCTCTGTGGGAAATCAGAAAGAGCAGTCAATGCTATAACGACAGTGTCTTGGGGCACGACAGAGTGAATAGTGCGAGACTAGGAAGCATTATTTAGCCAGGGCTTTCTGTTATCTGTTGTTGAAAAGTTCTATCCGTGGGAGGGAGGAATTGCATTTGTCAAATAAATGTAGCTGGTGTTGCTGAGAGGATTTATATAAAGTCTTAGACATTCATAGAAAGTTGTTTTTTCTTGTTTCTTAGGTGAAACGTTTTGCAAATTTACACAAATATCTCACTATATTTATGTGTGGAATTTTTCATATGCATGATGATGTGTAAATGATGCGCTGTTATTCTATCCTAAAAGAAAAAGATCTCCAATGGTTTCAACATGTGTGTTAAATATAAAATGGATGTAAAATAAAGCCTTATGATAACTATCAGTGACAATTACCAAGACAGATATTATGATTCTTTTTCGGTTTCATTCTCCAGTGTACACGTTACTGTTCGTGATATAGGGCCTGGTTAGCTATTTCTGAAACCCAGTTATATACCAGTGTGTAACATACCTCCTTTATCTAAATACGACACGAAGATAAGTATATGGGGACCGAGTCTTATATTGCTTGACACTTAAAAACTAGGAAATTATATTAGTCCATTATGCAATAGATATATTTATGTTAAACGCATCGTAAAACTTGTTTTATTTTCAAATTTGATAGACATATATACAAACAACAACAACTCGTTAAAGCGCCTCTATTTATTTATTTATTTAAATGAAATACATTATAAAACACTTAATATGAGAACCATGTAAAATATTATCAACATTAACAAGTAAAAAATAATATTATCACAGCAAAATCAATTACTTAATGTAGCAGAATCTTTTTTTAATCTTTATAAATATAATAATTATCAATTAAACATCTTTGAACACAATTACAGTAACATAACTGAAAATAATCTTTGTTTACATTGATGTGACAGAAACAGCTTTCGGTTAGTGTATTTCACAGATATAATATTGTTGATCACTTACGTTTAATGGCTAATTGCAACAGCAACCCATTGTGGTAATTTTGCTACAAAACATCAAAATATTTGATGTATTTTTTCGTAAAATGCAATACATTTCTATTTCGTTTGCTTTAGAAATATTTGTCTTGGTTTAAAGAGTATTTGTAAACACTTAATTTTTAACATAATTTAGGGAACGGAAACTAGCAGCTGATTTTGCTCCACGTGAGCACATATACATGCTTGAATTGATATACATAAATTTTAAAGTAAACATTTAAAGTTCAGTTGCATAAACTCTGCATGTTTCATGATATTAATAATAATAATAAAATTGTAGTTTGTTTCCGTGTTCAAAATAATCTCAGCAATCCACTCTCAGGTATATTACATACACGCAGAGTCGTAAAATACAACTTCCAACGACGTGCTGTTTTGTATAAATATGTATAGACAACATAGATAAAAAATAAGATTAGTAAATATATAATATTAATAAGAAAATAATAATGCGAATCTCAAGTAAACCTTACGCCATGGGGAAGCACGTTACAAAAGACAACGTGAACCCAAATATAACGTCGATAGAACAAATTGGCTTAATTTAACGAAATTATTCTCATGCTCAAGGACGGATTCTCTGCCCAAATCAACTTTCTTGTAACTCGCTTAAATCACGTGGCATGGTCGAAAAGTCAAGTGTTCATATTGAAAACAGTAATTCGCTTCAAGTCTTGCAAAAAGTCTTCAAACACCTCGAATGTGGAAACTTAGATGTCTGCGTAGTACTACTTCACAAATAAGTCATTTAAATTATTAACATGTCTGTGTTGTCCTGTTTCACAAATATTAATATATCTGTGTAGTCCTGCTTCAAAAATCAGTCATTTACATTTTTTAGATGATTGTGTAGGCATGTTTCACAAATCAGTAATTTCCATTGTTCTAACAGGTTATTTGCATTATTTACATGACTGTGTGTTTGTGTGGTCCTGTTTCCGGTGAAACCTTTGTATTAATTACACCTCAATTGAGGGGATTTCATTTTCACGATATTTATAAGTCAATTTGAAATTTCATTTTCAATCATACGGATCTTTTACCGTACTTTCATGTCAGTCATTTACATAAGGATAACACCGCATCTTTTTCAATTTCCTGCTGTCATGAACGCAAAGTGGTAATATATATTCTATGAAGCCAGCTAGGGCTTCATGGTAAATATGTATGTAATCGATTTGCGTTCATACTGGCATGAACATTGAAAACAATGCCACTCAGTCCTTATATTTACATCTAAATTTATACTTATTATTGACTCAAATATAGAGATTGATATTTACGTGTTTATGTCGTCAGCGCAAACGATATTCCTGGAACGACCTTACGTCACCAAAATATTTGTTCCTAACGGGTGTCTCGTGTCATCCGAAGAGAGAGGAGAAACGTCGAAATGACGCTGATCTATAATTGCGTGCGTTCATAGCCTTATGAACGCAATTTCTAATGGTAATAGTCAAAGAGGAACTTGCAGTCGAATTGTAAATATCATCTTATGGAAAACACTTTAAGTATTTGAATGTCTTAAACCCCCTTTTTATACAGAGTTTGTTCGTCACGTGTATCAATTCATCATCATTAATGCTTTTCATCCGGATGGGCTGCTAAAGGCGGAGTTCCGTTGGTTGTGTCTGGTAAGGGTTCATAACCTGGTGGGTCATTTTGCTGTCCATGGTTGAACTGGGTCGTTTCAAGTTCGGGGTGATAACCAAGAGGGTCATTTCGCTGTCCGTTCGGGAACTGGGTCATTTCGATTCGTGCATGTTGACCTCCTAAGTCGGACTGAAATAATCCGTGTGACGGACGAAATGAGACACCAAGCATGTGATTGTGTGAGAATGGAGACAGATGACCTGGAGGGGTATGGGAGTAAGTACCTGGAAAATATTGACAAAATTATAGTATAGAGCAACCATGGATTAAGTAACAACGGTGGTAAAAGATCATGTGTCAACCCTTTTTACAGAATATGGAAAAGTTCCTACTTTATAACAGTTTGCGTTGTTGAATGTGTAGATATATATTATTTCATTATACATCATGTAGTTTGGTATTTTTCGGAAATTATTTATAACATTCATTGTTAAATCAGTAAATAACATGTTAAGTTGTATAGAATTGAATGAAGCCTCGTTAAGCCTCGTTTACGACCAAGGCATTGTTAAAACATGCATTAAAACACCTGGATATTCCAAGCAAATGAACGACTTGACTCAAAACAATTAATCCGGTATATTTAAAAAGCTAAAATTAGATGCTTGGAGATTAAAGAATAGCACCACAAGACCATAAAAATATGTTTCAGAGATATTTATAAAACAAAATCAGATTTTCAACCATGAAGTTCCGCTAATTACAACAAGAACCTTTACTGTTTGTTATTTGACTATCTTATGTATTAATGTAGGACAGAACACCCCCCCCNCCGAGGGTACAGAATATTTAGCATAAAACGAGCTTGTTGAGGTTTTTGAACCCAAATTATGTTCTAGTACCTGAGGTTAGAATATTCATATCCTACACAATTTACATAATTATGGTTGTGTTATTTCCCTACATAGCTGGTCATGCAATATTGGTAGAGTCAATCATAGTAGGTATGTAAGATAGGAATATTCTACCCGGGGATGTAAAATTTGGGTTAGAACCGAGGCCGAGGCTTTCCCGAGGTTCTAACACTAAAGTTTGCACCCGAGGGTAGAGTATCCATATCCCACATACTTACCCGAGGGTAGAGTATCCATATCCCACATACTTACATACGGTCATATTGGGAAACGGCAGAAAAGCGTGTAGTATAGCTATGGTATAGCTTAATTTCAAAGATTCATTCAAGACCTTCAAGACAAGCTTGTGAACTTAACATTGATGTCTTCAGGTTGTGTCACTTGCCGGCGACAATAATTGTCACAGTCAGTCAAACGCCGTTTTGAGGGGATTTCGATTATGACCTCACCATCTAACGCCGTCTTTTTATTGTGACGTCATAATATAAAAGGTCACTGAGTGCATCCATGTGGGATGCATGTACTACACGTGAGTATTTCAAATGGAACAAGTGTATCTCGCATACGCAGAGATGGCAGAAAAAGTGTTCCCCATCTTACATGGGTATGACGTCACAACGCAAAGACAATGATATGACGTTTAATCCATTTTGCTGAATTTTATTTTGTAGTTCTAGTTATTTATTTTTCTACATAGATCATCGTATTATTAATAATGAAAAAAATAAGATTCAACATAACATTTGATGTGCTCTTTCCAGTATTAAACATTAGTTTCAAATCCGATCAATATAAGAGAAGCTGATATTTCCCACAAGAGTGTGACTACACATTTCGATGACATTGATTTGTAAGTGATTTATAAAAAAATAAACGTGTCTTTCACATCAGTTATAATCTTCCCAGGTATGTATTGAGTGACATAAGAACTGAGAACAAACCTTGAAACATCAGTGGATAGGTCTGTGGGGCACTCAACACCTGTCCACACTGGATCTGGTTCCTCGTGTTCTGTTTATAGTAACAACATAAGCCGATGATGACGATGATGGCGACCAGCAGTGCAAAGCCAAGCACACAGCCAAGAACTATAGCGGCCCTGTAACACCAATATAACAGTACAAGTCACAGGACATATGACATTTACATAGTACCACAGTACATAGACTGGTCATGTGACATAGGGAAATCATGTGACATTAGTATAGTATTAAAGCATAAAGGGAGGTCATGTTACATCAATATAGCTCTTCATTAAATAGATACATTATTATATTACCTGTATATGCAAAGGTCTTAACTTGACATTCTACATTTTGGGATACTTTGTGCAAATATCATAGATTTTGTGATCCTCTATGTAGTGATCTTACAGTATGGGATGTTTCAGTTCCTACGTTTGATCTTACAGGAAAAAAATTCTTGTATATTCTGTGATCCTGCATTATGTAATAAGGTAAGAGATATCCTATATTGTGTGATCATGTAAGGGAGATCATGTATTGTGTGATCACGTAAGAGATATTCTGTATTGTGTTATCCTGTAAGGGAGATCATTTATTGTGTGATCATGTAAGAGATATTCTGTATTGTGTGATCATGTAAGGGAGATCATGTATTGTGTGATCATGTAAGAGATATTCTGTATTGTGTTATCCTGTAAGGGAGATCATTTATTGTGTGATCATGTAATAAAGATCCTGTGTTGTGTGATCATGTAAAGGAGATAATGTTTTGTGTGATCCTGTAAGGGTGATCCGGTATTGTGTGATCCTGTAAGGTAAATCATTTATTGTTTGATCATGTAATGGACATAACGTATTATGTGATCCTTTAAGGGAGATTCTGAATTATGTGAACCTGTAATTGAGTTCATGTATTGTTTGAACCTGTAATGGAGATCATGTATTGTTTTATCCTGTAAGGGATATCCTGCATTGTGTAATCCTGTAAGGGAGATCCTGTGTTGTGTGATCCTGTATTGTTTGATCTTGTTAATGGAGATCCTGTATTGTGTGGTCCTGTAATAGAGATAATGAATTGTGTGATCTTGTTATGGGGACAATGTTTTGTGTGATCTTGTAATGGAGATCCTGTATTGTGTGATCCTGTAATGGAGTTTCTGTATTGTGTGATTCTGTAAGTGAGATAATGTTTTGTGTGATCTTGTAATGGAGATCTTGTATTGTGTGATCCTGTAATGGAGATCCTGTATTGTGTGATCCTGTAATTACGATCATGCATTGTTTGAACCTGTATTGGTGGTCATGTATTGTTTGATCCTGTAAGGTAGATCTCGCATTGTGTTATCCTGTAAAGGAGATCCTGTATTGTGTGATTCTATAATGGAGATCCTGTATTGTGTGATTCTATATGGGAGATCATGTATTGTGTGATCCTGTAAGGGAGATCCTGTATTGTGTGATTCTATATGGGAGATCCTGTATTGTGTGATTCTATATGGAAGATCCTGTATTGTGTGATTCTATATGGAAGATCCTGTATTGTGTGATTCTATATGGGAGATCCTGTATGGTGTGATTCTATAAGGGATATCCTGTATTGTGTGATCCTGTAAGGGAGATCCTGTATTGTGTGATTATATATGGGATATCCTGTATTATGTGATCATGTAAGGGAGATCCTGTATTGTGTGATCCTGTAAGGGAGATCCTGTATTGTGTGATTCTATATGGGAGATCCTGTATTGTGTGATTCTATAAGGGAGGTCCTGTATTGTGTGATTCTATATGGGAGATCCTGTATTGTGTGATTTTATATGGGAGATCCTGTATTGTGTGATTATATATGGGTGATCCTGTATTGTGTGATTATATATGGGAGATCCTGTATTGTGTGATCCTATATGGGAGATCCTGTATTGTGTGATTATATATGGGAGATCCTATATTTTTTGATCCTGTAAAGGAGATCCTGTATTGTGTGATTCTATAATGGAGATCCTATATTGTGTGATTCTATATGGGAGATCCTGTATTGTGTGATTATATATGGGAGATCCTGTATTGTGTGATTATATATGGGAAATCCTGTATTGTGTGATTATATATGGGAGATCCTGTATTGTGTGATTCTATATGGGAGATTCTGTATTGTGTGATCCTGTAAGGGAGATTCTGTATTGTGTGATTATATATGGGATATCCTGTATTGTGTGATCCTGTAAGGGAGATCCTGTAGTGTGTGATACTGTAAGGGAGATCCTGTATTATGTGATTCTATATGGGAGATCCTGTATTGTGTGATTTGTGTGATTCTATATGGGAGATCCTGTATTGTGTGATTTGTGTGATTCTATATGGGAGATCCTGTATTGTGTGATTATATATAGGAGATCCTGTATTGTGTGATTATATAAGGGAGATCCTGTATTGTGTGATCCTGTAAGGGAGATCCTGTATTGTGTGATACTGTAAGGGAGATCCTGTATTATGTGATTCTATATGGGAGATCCTGTATTGTGTGATTCTATATTGGAGATCCTGTGTTGTGTGGTTCTATAAGGGATATCCTGTATTGTGTGATCCTGTAATACAGATCCTGTATTGTGTGGTTCTATAAGGGATATCCTGTATTGTGTGATCCTGTAATACAGATCCTGTATTGTGTGGTTCTATAAGGGATATCCTGTATTGTGTGATCCTGTAATACAGATCCTGTATTGTGTGGTTCTATAAGGGATATCCTGTATTGTGTGATCCTGTAATAGAGATCCTGTATTGTGTGACTATATATAGGAGATCCTGTATTGTGTGATTATATAAGGGAGATCCTCTATTGTGTGATCCTGTAAGGGAGATCCTGTATTGTGTGATTATATATGGGAGATCCTGTATTGTGTGATTCTATATGGGAGATCCTGTATTGTGTGATCCTGTAAGGGAGATCCTGTATTGTGTGATTCTATATGGGAGATCCTGTATTGTGTGATTCTATATGGGAGATCCTGTATTGTGTGATTCTATAATGGAGATCCTGTATTGTGTGATTATATATTGGAGATCCTGTATTGTGTGATTCTATAATGGAGATCCTGTATTGTGTGATTCTATAATGGAGATCCTGTATTGTGTGATTCTATAATGGAGATCCTGTATTGTGTGATTCTATAATGGAGATCCTGTATTGTGTGATTCTATAATGGAGATCCTGTATTGTGTGATTCTATAATGGAGATCCTGTATTGTGTGATTCTATAATGGAGATCCTGTATTGTGTGATTCTATAATGGAGATCCTGTATTGTGTGATTCTATAATGGAGATCCTGTATTGTGTGATTCTATAATGGAGATCCTGTATTGTGTGATTCTATATTGGAGATCCTGTATTGTGTGATTCTATAATGGAGATCCTGTATTGTGTGATTCTATAATGGAGATCCTGTATTGTGTGATTCTATAATGGAGATCCTGTATTGTGTGATTCTATAATGGAGATCCTGTATTGTGTGATTCTATAATGGAGATCCTGTATTGTGTGATTCTATAATGGAGATCCTGTATTGTGTGATTCTATAATGGAGATCCTGTATTGTGTGATTCTATATTGGAGATCCTGTATTGTGTGATTCTATAATGGAGATCCTGTATTGTGTGATTCTATAATGGAGATCCTGTATTGTGTGATTCTATAATGGAGATCCTGTATTGTGTGATTCTATAATGGAGATCCTGTATTGTGTGATTCTATAATGGAGATCCTGTATTGTGTGATTCTATAATGGAGATCCTGTATTGTGTGATTCTATAATGGAGATCCTGTATTGTGTGATTCTATAATGGAGATCCTGTATTGTGTGATTCTATATTGGAGATCCTGTATTGTGTGATTCTATAATGGAGATCCTGTATTGTGTGATTCTATAATGGAGATCCTGTATTGTGTGATTCTATATTGGAGATCCTGTATTGTGTGATTCTATAATGGAGATCCTGTATTGTGTGATTCTATAATGGAGATCCTGTATTGTGTGATTCTATAATGGAGATCCTGTATTGTGTGATTCTATATTGGAGATCCTGTATTGTGTGATTCTATAATGGAGATCCTGTATTGTGTGATTCTATAATGGAGATCCTGTATTGTGTGATTCTATAATGGAGATCCTGTATTGTGTGATTCTATAATGGAGATCCTGTATTGTGTGATTCTATAATGGAGATCCTGTATTGTGTGATTCTATAATGGAGATCCTGTATTGTGTGATTCTATAATGGAGATCCTGTATTGTGTGATTCTATAATGGAGATCCTGTATTGTGTGATTCTATAATGGAGATCCTGTATTGTGTGATTCTATAATGGAGATCCTGTATTGTGTGATTCTATAATGGAGATCCTGTATTGTGTGATTCTATAATGGAGATCCTGTATTGTGTGATTCTATAATGGAGATCCTGTATTGTGTGATTCTATAATGGAGATCCTGTATTGTGTGATTCTATATTGGAGATCCTGTATTGTGTGATTCTATAATGGAGATCCTGTATTGTGTGATTCTATAATGGAGATCCTGTATTGTGTGATTCTATAATGGAGATCCTGTATTGTGTGATTATATATTGGAGATCCTGTATTGTGTGATTCTATAATGGAGATCCTGTATTGTGTGATTCTATAATGGAGATCCTGTATTGTGTGATTCTATAATGGAGATCCTGTATTGTGTGATTCTATAATGGAGATCCTGTATTGTGTGATTCTATAATGGAGATCCTGTATTGTGTGATTCTATAATGGAGATCCTGTATTGTGTGATTCTATAATGGAGATCCTGTATTGTGTGATTCTATAATGGAGATCCTGTATTGTGTGATTCTATAATGGAGATCCTGTATTGTGTGATTCTATAATGGAGATCCTGTATTGTGTGATTCTATAATGGAGATCCTGTATTGTGTGATTCTATAATGGAGATCCTGTATTGTGTGATTCTATAATGGAGATCCTGTATTGTGTGATTCTATAATGGAGATCCTGTATTGTGTGATTCTATAATGGAGATCCTGTATTGTGTGATTCTATATTGGAGATCCTGTATTGTGTGATTCTATAATGGAGATCCTGTATTGTGTGATTCTATAATGGAGATCCTGTATTGTGTGATTCTATAATGGAGATCCTGTATTGTGTGATTCTATAATGGAGATCCTGTATTGTGTGATTCTATAATGGAGATCCTGTATTGTGTGATTCTATAATGGAGATCCTGTATTGTGTGATTCTATAATGGAGATCCTGTATTGTGTGATTCTATAATGGAGATCCTGTATTGTGTGATTCTATATTGGAGATCCTGTATTGTGTGATTCTATAATGGAGATCCTGTATTGTGTGATTCTATAATGGAGATCCTGTATTGTGTGATTCTATAATGGAGATCCTGTATTGTGTGATTCTATAATGGAGATCCTGTATTGTGTGATTCTATAATGGAGATCCTGTATTGTGTGATTCTATAATGGAGATCCTGTATTGTGTGATTCTATAATGGAGATCCTGTATTGTGTGATTCTATAATGGAGATCCTGTATTGTGTGATTCTATAATGGAGATCCTGTATTGTGTGATTCTATAATGGAGATCCTGTATTGTGTGATTCTATAATGGAGATCCTGTATTGTGTGATTCTATAATGGAGATCCTGTATTGTGTGATTCTATAATGGAGATCCTGTATTGTGTGATTCTATAATGGAGATCCTGTATTGTGTGATTCTATAATGGAGATCCTGTATTGTGTGATTCTATAATGGAGATCCTGTATTGTGTGATTCTATATTGGAGATCCTGTATTGTGTGATTCTATAATGGAGATCCTGTATTGTGTGATTCTATAATGGAGATCCTGTATTGTGTGATTCTATAATGGAGATCCTGTATTGTGTGATTCTATATTGGAGATCCTGTATTGTGTGATTCTATAATGGAGATCCTGTATTGTGTGATTCTATAATGGAGATCCTGTATTGTGTGATTCTATAATGGAGATCCTGTATTGTGTGATTCTATATTGGAGATCCTGTATTGTGTGATTCTATAATGGAGATCCTGTATTGTGTGATTCTATAATGGAGATCCTGTATTGTGTGATTCTATAATGGAGATCCTGTATTGTGTGATTCTATATTGGAGATCCTGTATTGTGTGATTCTATAATGGAGATCCTGTATTGTGTGATTCTATAATGGAGATCCTGTATTGTGTGATTCTATAATGGAGATCCTGTATTGTGTGATTCTATAATGGAGATCCTGTATTGTGTGATTCTATAATGGAGATCCTGTATTGTGTGATTCTATAATGGAGATCCTGTATTGTGTGATTCTATAATGGAGATCCTGTATTGTGTGATTCTATAATGGAGATCCTGTATTGTGTGATTCTATAATGGAGATCCTGTATTGTGTGATTCTATAATGGAGATCCTGTATTGTGTGATTCTATAATGGAGATCCTGTATTGTGTGATTCTATATTGGAGATCCTGTATTGTGTGATTCTATAATGGAGATCCTGTATTGTGTGATTCTATAATGGAGATCCTGTATTGTGTGATTCTATAATGGAGATCCTGTATTGTGTGATTCTATATTGGAGATCCTGTATTGTGTGATTCTATAATGGAGATCCTGTATTGTGTGATTCTATAATGGAGATCCTGTATTGTGTGATTCTATAATGGAGATCCTATATTGTGTGATTCTATAATGGAGATCCTGTATTGTGTGATTATATATTGGAGATCCTGTATTGTGTGATTCTATATTGGAGATCCTGTATTGTGTGATTCTATAATGGAGATCCTGTATTGTGTGATTCTATATTGGAGATCCTATATTGTGTGATTCTATAATGGAGATCCTGTATTGTGTGATTATATATTGGAGATCCTGTATTGTGTGATTATATATGGGAGATCCTATATTGTGTGATTCTATAAGGGATATCCTGTATTGTGTGATCCTGTAAGGGAGATCCTGTATTGTGTGAACCTGTAAGGGAGATCCTGTATTGTGTGATCCTATATGGGAGATCATGTATTGTGTGATTCTATAATGGAGATCCTGTATTGTGTGATTATATATGGGAGATCCTGTATTATGTGATCCTGTAAGGGAGATCCTGCATTGTGCAATCCTGTAAGGAAAATCCTGTTTTATGTGATTCTGTATTGTGTGATTCTATAAGGGAGATCATGTATTGTGTGATTCTTTAAGGGAGATCCTGTATTGTGTGATTCTATGTATGAGATCCTGTTTTGTGTGATTCTATGTATGAGATCCTGTTTTGTGTGACTCAACAGGAGAGATCCTTACAGATGTACTCTAACGAGTAATGATTGGTTACCGAGTATCTTTTACAATTTTAAAATTAACTTACGAGAGTTAGATAAACATGATAAACATTCGCCCACAACATTCAGATTTGAAATATCTAGTAAACCACATGTTTCTCTTAGGAATACATTATTCCTGTTTTCTGGAAAACTATTGCCATGAACTATGACACCAAACAGGAGATGGCGTTGCAAAGCTTCCCGTCATAATCAGAAGATTGACCAATGAAAAAACGTCACGTGGTTAACGGGGAAGGAGGGGGCACTGGTGGGTTACCAAAATTGTATACCAACACCAAGCGGGTTTATCCATTTAATCGGGAGTGAGGACACCGATAGTGGTTGTGGGAGAAATTATGTACACTTATAATGTTTAGAGATATATAACTTTTACTTTTGTTGGCGAGGTTAATAAATTTCGAACTTAGATATATCACTGAAACGTAATAGAACAAAGTGACTTAAACTGTTGTTAGTTCTTTTGCATGATATCTCGTAAATAAGTGTTCAAGAAAAAGAGGCATTCTGCATTAACTTACACGGTACTATCGTCTAGCCTTGGGGCCTCTGTCGTGGTGTTTTCACAGCACTGGGAACTACAGCATCCCTGATAACAGTAGCCTGTGTACTCAATATATCCATAAACGCCATTTAAGTGGTAGCATATCGCATCGGCTTTCGTTTCTAGAACAAAAGATATTCAAAATATAAACGCTAAAAGTAATTAACAAAGTAGAAAGGTAATTTTTCTAGAACCACTATAAAAAGTTATAACCGACACAGTCCATAAAGTGACGAAATACATTCTTATACCCCCAGCAAATCAAACCTTTCCTGTAACACTCCGATAGTGCATAATGCTTTGCTTAGTTTCCTTAGTTTTTGTAACATTTTTACAGTCCAATATGTTTGTAAAGACCGCCAAAGGGAGAAAATAAAACATGTCTCTTCAAAGACCGGAAAAGGGAGAAAGTGAACCATGTCTCTAACAAAGATAAGAAAAGGTAGAAAGTGAACCATGTCTCTAACAAAGAGAAGAAAAGGGAGAAAGTGAACCATGTCTCTTCAAAGACAGGAAAAGGAAGAAAGTGAACCATGTCTCTTACAAAGACCGGCAAAGGGAGAAAGTGAACCATGTCTCTAACAAAGACCGGCAAAGGGAGAAAGTGAACCATGTCTCTAACAAAGACCGGCAAAGGGAGAAAACAAAGTGTGTCTTTTTAGACCAAACAAAAGAGAGAAAAATGACAGGTTTTTAACATCGTGTAAGTGACAGAAGAGGAATCATGTCTATAAAACTTAAATATAATCTTTATCATCCTCGGAGTAAGACAGAAACACATTCTACCCAAGGGCCAAGATTCGTATATGTCTAACCCGAAGATTTGCTTTTTGATGTAGACAAAGAGAAACGAGCATGACACAGTATCTTTTTTTTTGTATAAACATTGTAATATTGACCATACATGTTATAATGACGCGGTATACTACCAACAAGCCACCTTGATGAAGTCCCTCACCAGTAACTATACGCCAACCTCTTCATTAGTTGCCAATGAGACTGTTAACATGTCCTCCAGTTATCATTCGACAGACATTACTAACTACGTAAAGTAGCCGGATCGCTTATATTTGTTGTCGATTTAAGGTCATGTTTCATTCCGTGACTTTTATAAGTTTTTTGTGTAAAAATGAGCCAATGTCAGGTATTGTGTACATGATACAACTAATATTTGTTATACTATTCAATTGATACATGTTAATAGGTCGAATGTAGAAACTAAACAGCCACTAAATTGTTGTCAAATGTAGGGCACCGCCATTGCTATAATCCAAATCAACTGTATATAACTATAGGTCACTCAACAAGAAGTGTGCCTGAAACTGGCTTGCTGGCCTCTATAGACTGGTTGTCTGGTGGTCATCTACAGGCTGGTGGTCTGAACAGGATATCAGACAAAACAATTTACCACATTTCCTTTTAAATAAATCAAAATCAAGCAAACTTACCCGGAACCAATAATATAAGAACCAAACCGAAAATATTACTGACAGCCATCTTGTAATAATGACTTCAGTTTGTCGTTACGGGTGTCATTGTCAGTTAAACACACGGTGCCAAATCATTAACCATTACAGTCTGACTTACACATCACAGCGCGCTTTGTTAAATTAATTGAATAGCCTTTATTCCTACGAAAATGTACAACGTACATCAGATTATGAGTGGTTTAAAACATAGTTCCACTAAAAGCACTCTATATATATATCATATGGTAGCAGTCAAGCAATGACGAGGGTGGCGACGTTATACACTTACCTGTATGTTTTACAGGAAGTGTTGTAGCATTATCATGTGGTAAGTACTGTCAACCGAGACGAAAGCGACAATAATTATATTTTTACTGAGGTTAAAAAATGACACTAGAAGAGATGAAAGTACTTAAGACTTGTTGTTGAGAATTTTTCTTTTACAATATTTCTTCGTCCGTAAGAAGTAATTCCAACAATGTGGACAAGTCTAGGTTGTCAAATTTTCGGAGCGATTCGCTCCTTTATCAAGACACAGTGAAACAGAACAGTTACTTGTACATATACATCATATTACAAGAAGATAGAACTGGTATACTATAATTGAAAATATAGCTATTATATAAAACCAATAGTCCCCTCGGCTAAAGGCAGCCGAAGGCAGCAGTTAAGCTGAGAGCATTGCGGACAAGGAACGCTGATGTAGAGGACCTATTCTTGCGCAAGATGCACTATCACATAAAGTGAGTCAACGAGAGATAAGCACCAGCAACTATTTTAAGTAATTTGTATCCTACGGATATTAGGATCCAGTGCTATATGGGATTTTACCGTCTATATTACTTCTTTGACCCATACCTTTATATAAGTAATATTTGTATCATAACTTAGTCCACCTTTTTATGATCCGGTTTCTCCCTTACTTGTTGTGTATCATCCTTGTTATTGTTTTGTATCGTCTTTTTTGTCAATTCTTGTATCTTCTTATTTTACTACTATGGATCCAGTAACCATCTACAACAAAGCTAAAAGAGGAGCCCAGAGAGTTGTTACCTTGCAGCACCATCTTAGCAACTACAACTCGTACATCCAGGACAATATTGTACCCCAAGGTTTACGATTCACCAATCTACAAACCCGCTACCCTCGAGGTATGAACGAACGATAGGCGGTTGCCATCCGCTCGTTTTCCTTCCAGGGGGCATTTGACATAATGGTGCATTACTGCACAGTTGGTCTGCTATCTCGCCTGCCTGCTGCTGCATGTCAGTGTGTGTGACCAACAGCCGTTGTCAGATTAATTTTGCAGATTTATACATTATTTTAGCCATTTCATCTACTTATTCCTCCTGCACTCACTTATTTGATAATTACATGCATTATTCCTGCAAACCGAAAGAGGCGACTAAGTGTGAACCCCCCTGCTGTTACTGTTAAATCCACTGCAGAATTGAGAGGCGACTAATGAGGGCATTCCGTAGGAAATTGAGATTTTTCACATTTACCGGGCCAGATTCTCACATGCACATGTTCCACGTTTTTAATATCTCGTCCCTTCTTTCTGGTGCTTATCTCTCGTTGACTCACTTTATGTGATAGTGCATCTTGCGCAAGAATAGGTCCTCTACATCAGCGTTCCTTGTCCGCGATGCTCGCAGCTTAATTGCTGTCTTCGGCTGTCTTTAGCCGAGAGGACTTTCAATTATAGTATATCAGTTCTATCTTCTTGTAATATGATGTATATGTACATGTAACTGTTCTGTTTCACTGTGTCTTGATAAAAGTGCGGATCACTCCGAAAATTTGACAACCTAAACTTGTCCACACTGTTGGAATTACTTCTTTGCCCCACATACTATTTTAAGTAAATCGTATCCTACGACATACCTCCATTAGGATCCAGTGTTATATGGGATTTTTCCGTCTATATTACTTCTTTGACCCATATATATATATTTATTTATAAAATTTATGAAACAAGTTGCTGCGACTTATATCATTCACTCTTGTTGGCCTAGATGTTAGAGCACTCGGAGAAAACCGACGTGGTCGGGCAGGGGACCCCATACCTGTTCACGTCCGATTAGAACTTAACCCCGGCCGCCTTGGTGAAAGGCAAGTGCGGTATCGACTGCGCCAACCCATTGCCCCATTTAAGCACATCGCATCAAGCTTAGTTGCGTATCTCGAGTTTGTTTTAAAAGAAAACGCCGTTAAATATCGGAAACTGAAAAAACAATACCAACAGAAACATAAGTTAACTGTAGAACCCATAGCTTCAGCAGCCGTCTGAATGTCTCCCATTAAGTCCTTGAAAGTATGTTGGCAGCCAGACATTCATCACGGAAGACACGACTGGAATCATGAATGGAATCTAGGTTTTGAAGACAATCGCTAAATTTTTTCAACTTAAATTGGTGCCACTATATAGATAATCAATGTTTTGGTCAACACGAAACACATTGGATACATGCAGCATACAAACCCATTATGCTCGAGAGAAACTACTGAATGAAGGGAAGTTAGTGGTTGTGACTATGAGAGGGTCACGTTTATCCTAAAGAGGTAAGGTGCCCTATTGTCATACTGCAGGTAAAATAGAGTTTGCTTATGATGTAATAATTATAGTCCTACTAAATGAAGAATTCGGTAGTGAGGTGAACATTATTGTCATATTGTAGGTAAATATAAATAGTTTGGTAGTGAGCTAACAGTCATACTGTAGGTAAATCAGAGTTTGATAGTGAGCTAACAGTCATACAGTAGGTAAATCAGAGTTTGGTAGTGAGCTAACATTCATACAGTAGGTAAATCAGAGTTTGGTAGTGATCTAACAGTCATACTGTAGGTAAATCAGAGTTTGGTAGTGAGCTAACAGTCATACAGTAGGTAAATATAAATAGTTTGGTAGTAAGCTAACAGTCATACTGTAGGTAAATATAAATAGTTTGGTAGTGAGCTAACAGTCATACAGTAGTTAAATCAGAGTTTGGTAGTGAGGTGAACAGTAATACTGTAGGTAAATCAGAGTTTGGTAGTGAGCTAACAGTAATACAGTAGGTAAATCAGAGTTTGGTAGTGATCTAACCGTCATACTGTAGGTAAATCAGAGTTTGGTAGTGAGGTTAACAGTCATACTGTAGGTAAATCAGAGTTTGGTAATGAGCTAACAGTCATACTGTAGGTAAATCAGAGATTGGTAGTGAGCTAACAGTCATGCAGTAGGTAAATCAGAGTTTGGTAGTGAGCTTACAGTCATACAGTAGGTAAATCAGAGTTTGGAAGTGAGGTGAACAGTCATACAGTAGGTAAATCAGAGTTTGGAAGTGAGGTGAACAGTCATACAGTAGGTAAATCAGAGTTTGGTAGTGAGGTGAACAGTAATACTGTAGGTAAATCAGAGTTTGGTAGTGAGGTGAACAGTCATACTGTAGGTAAATCAGAGTTTGGTAGTGAGGTGAACAGTAATACTGTAGGTAAATCAGAGTTTGGTAGTGAGGTTAACAGTCATACTGTAGGTAAATCAGAGTTTGATAGTGAGCTAACAGTCATACAGTAGGTAAATATAAATAGTTTGGCAGTAAGCTAACAGTCATACTGTAGGTAAATATAAGTAGTTTGGTAGTGAGCTAACAGTCATACAGTAGGTAGATATAAATAGTTTGGTAGTAAGCTAACAGTCATACTGTAGGTAAATATAAATAGTTTGGTAGTGAGCTAACAGTCATACAGTAGTTAAATCAGAGTTTGGTAGTGAGGTGAACAGTAATACTGTAGGTAAATCAGAGTTTGGTAGTGAGCTAACAGTCATACTGTAGGTAAATCAGAGTTTGGTAGTGAGGTGAACAGTCATACTGTAGGTAAATCAGAGTTTGGTAGTGAGCTAACAGTAATACTGTAGGTAAATCAGAGTTAGGTAGTGAGCTAACAGTCATACAGTAGGTAAATCAGAGTTTGGGAGTGAGCTAACAGTCATACTGGAGGTAAATCAGAGTTTGGTAGTCAGCTAACAGTCATGCAGTAGGTAAATCATAGTTTGGTAGTGAGCTTACAGTCATACCGTAGGCAAATCAGAGTTTGGTAGTGAGCTAACAGCCATACTGTAGGTAAATCAGAGGTTGGTAGTGAGGTGAACAGTCATACTGTAGGTAAATCTGAGTTTGGTCGTGAGCTAACAGTCATGCAGTAGGTAAATCAGAGTTTGGTAGTGAGCTAACAGTCATACTGTAGATAAATCAGAGTTTCGTAGTGAGCTAACAGTCATACTGTAGGTAAATCAGAGTTTGGTAGTGAGCTAACAGTCATGCAGTAGGTAAATCAGAGTTTGGTAGTGAGCTTACAGTCATACAGTAGGTAAATCAGAGTTTGGTAGTGAGCTAACAGTCATTCTGTAGGTAAATCAGAGTTTGGTAGTGAGCTAACGGTCATACTGTAGGTAAATCAGAGTTTGGTAGTGAGCTAACAGTCATACTGTAGGTAAATCAGAGTTTGGTAGTGATCTAACAGTCATACTGTAGGTAAATCAGAGTTTGGTAGTGAGCTAGATATTATTGTAGAGTTCGGATGTAAAGTTACTATATTTGTCGTATTGTAGATAAATGACATAAATTTTAGTATTGACGTACAATAAGTAAAACTACCTGGTCGGACAAATAGTGTTTGGGTATGTTGGTACATTTGAAATTTCTCAGCAACTTTGCTGACATTTCCTTGTTTAAAAATGCATGCCCGAAAGGTGTTGATTGCGTCGTTTCTTGCAACACAAAGGTAACTGTCTTAACGCTGACCTAGATCAGAGATCATCAGTCAGTGCATATTTAAACAACAAATTTAAGGTGAAATATTGCCATCAAAGCTTATACTGACTTACACTTATCCAACATATTTTTGAGTTTGAAACATTTGTATTTAACCACTTAAATATGAAAATCCTATGAAAATATAGTGATAATAACACCCTCACAAAATATATATACTCTGTAGTTATTCAGGTTCTAACCTAAAAACTCAGCCGTGTCAGATCTTTTATATCTTGAATTGACCACCTGAGTTCCATAATTCTCAGGTAGGAGGCAGTAATTAATAACGGAAGTCGAGAAGCCTGGCAGCGCTAAAGAAAACAACATATCAGATAGTCTAGTCTG